CATTAAATGTAAGAAACACAGAAGCAGCAGCTGAACACAAAGTAAGTTAATGACCGCCTCCCTCAGTGCACCCACTGTTCGAATTACCCCCAGGCTACCTGTGAGCCAGATGCTAACAAGAAATCCAAGTCTGTGAGTCTACCCTTCCCCTGACCCCAGCCCAGAAGGGGCGTGTGGATGACGTGCACGCAGGAGCTTACATCAGCAGAGGATACCCCAACAGCTCAAGGTTGGCAGAAACTTTGGAGCCTGCAACCAGGTCTCGGTGCCCAGGAGCTTGAAAGGGGCAGAGGGTTTGCCACCAGCTCGCAAGTTAGGAGGAAGGAGGAACAGAGGCACAGCCGGGCTTGGATGGGCTGAGATGGGCTACAAAGCAGGGCTCTCAGCTCCGTCTCATTTCTCATGTCCGTGACACCCTTTCCCTTCCTGCACCATATAAATCCTACAGCAAGGGGAGGGGATGTCAGCCAGCCAACAGCTACTTGGTTGGGAAAGTGCAAAGGGACACTGAGTCCCAACTTCTCGTTTCCAGGTCAGGAAGTGAGAAGTGGAGAGGTGAGGAGAGGTGAGGCAACTCAGGTGAAGGCTCCCAGGCAGTGAGCGCAGGATGGCAATGCAGACACTGGTCTGAGCGTAAGACCAGAGTCCCACTGTCTCCACATCTACTGTGTAGCATTTTAGGTCACCCGCTGCCTTTCCCATACGTTGTTTCACATGAGGGACACACAACAGAAGTGCTAAAACGACAAGGAAGAGATTCCAGACGTCAGGTTTTCTGCAGTGAAGCCCCAGGGCTAACCAAGCTTGGTGACCTGTGGGCAGGGGAGGGGAAGAGGTGACCCTTGGCCAGGAGACTTCTGTATTCAATTGGGGCTTCTCTCAACAACCACTGTGTGCCAGCCGATGGGCAAATGGATCATGTGCGCTGCTCCCCCATGACAAAGCAATTGGACCAATAAGAAAAATCTGTACACAATTCGAGGCTAATGGAATCCTGAGCAGTCAGCAGCTTTAGGGATTATAGGGAAGCCTCTGAAATGATAGCTATTTGGAGACTGGCTTATTTTTCAGTTTAGTGAACATTGTACAATACCACCAAATGCAGAACAGACACTGGTGTGGGTTTTAGGTAAGCATGAAACCTACTGATATCAAGGCATGTTTTACACTGTAAATTGTTGTCTGTCCTGTGAACTGCCATAGCTCTGAGGCATTAGAAATAATGGAATCACAAAGCCACAGAGCTCAGAGCTAAATGGGGCCTCAGAAGATTCAGGATGGAGCCTTCAGGCTGGTAAAGAATGATTAGTCACACCTTATAGATGCAGTCTCAGAAAGGCCAGGTATCCTGCCCCAAGTCACACAACTAATGCTGACCAAGAGAAGAGGGGAGAAGGGTAAGTCTCCTGCTTCTCAGTGTCCCGTGTCAACTCTGGCCACGTGGCCACAGCTCTGTGGTCCACTTAGCCCGGAGGGCTGCCTCTGGCTAAAGTAACAATAACACAATTCAAGACACCCTGAGAAGCATGTACAAGATGGTAATGTGATTTCGTCTCCATGGTGCATTTGACCTTGTTCAAAGGCTTTTTTGCACATACGGGTTTTCATTTTCTTTCCCTAACGTGTGCTCGATTGGCAGGGCAGGGGACAAGGTGCTATTATCACTGTTTTACAGATAAGGATGCTGAATGTCTTGGGGGCCAGGCACTACCACCAGCACCCAGTGAAACCCAAGTATACTCTCTTCTCTCAGGGTTTTCAAAGAACACGTGCATTCTTCCCCAGTCTGTCTTGTCCTCTGACCTCCTAGCCCCCCACTTCCAAGCAATTAGCCATGATTAAGAGCATAGTAAATCTTGAGAATCAGTCCTTAAGATCCCAGTTGACCAACGGATAATCTCCTGGGTGGCCAGGCCAGAGACAGGCTGAAGTCCGCACCCTTGTAATGTTTTTACTTGGAGTCACTGCTATCGCGTCTAAGCTGGCTCCCCCACTGCCATCATTTCCTCTGCAGACCCCAGCCCAATGCCTTCCAAAAACGCCTGTTTGATCAGTTCACTCTCCTGTTCCAAAATGGTCCTTAGTGTCCAGAGTACAAGGACTCACCTGCCTGACATTTAAGACCCTGCAGGCTCCAACCCAACAGTAGCCTTATGTTCTTCTAAAATAATAGTGATGATATCTATAATAATAGCTACCATTTACTGGATACTTATGAGCCAGGCATTGGGCTAACTGCCTTGCCTATTACCTAGACGCTGTTAGCTGTCTTACCAGTACCCACACTTCCTAGCTACCAAAACCCTGATTTTGTTCAGTGGGTCACAGACCGGCACAGACAATGGATCATGATTGGTCTAAGTCAGTGAGTCTCAAAGTACAGTCCCAGAACAGCAGCATCATCGGCTGCTGGGAACTTGTTAGAAATGCAAATTCTCGGGGCGCCTGGGTGGCTCAGTCGGTTAAGTGTCCGACTTCAGCTCAGGTCATGATCTCACAGTCTGTGGGTTTGAGCCCCACATCGGGCTCTGTGCTGACAGCCCAGAGGCTGGAGCCTGCTTTGGATTCTCTGTCTCCCTCTCTCTCTGACCCTCCCCTGCTCATGCTCTCAGTCTCAAAATTAAAAACATTAAAAAAAAAAAAAAAAGAAATGCAAATTCTCAGGCCCCACCCCAGACCTACAGGATCAGAAGTTCTGGGGGTGGGGCCCAGCAATCTGTGGTTTCACAAATCCTCCAGGGGATTCTGTTTCTCACTCAAGTTGGAAAACCAATGGTCTAAACCAATCCTAATAACCTGGATCCCTACTTCCCACACTGGAGGTGGCCTTGTGACTCAGTGTGGGCTCATGAGACCAACATGAAAAGCCGGGAGAAGGGTATTCTGGGAAAGCTTTTATTTTCTTGATGAAAAGGGAGAGAGGCATCCCCTCCCAATCTTTTTGTTTGTTTGTTCTTCTCCAATCTTAAAATTGCAACCCCCCACTGTGGGCCAACCTTTACTTTCTATCTTCTTACCAACGTTATTTTTTTTCTTCATACCACGTAGAGCCTCTCCACTATATCTACTTGTTTACCATCTGTCTCCTCCCACCAAGATGCACCCAAGAGGGAAGGGCCTTTGTCAGTCTTGTTCAGCACGTCTCAGTATCCTCATGTGCACAAAAGTGTCTGGCAAACTGTGTTGACTTGGTGTGTGTTTACTGATAAATGAGCACAGTGGTCTCTTCTTTCTTGCTTTGGATGAGAAATTGATGGCTGAGGCTGTGGCAGCCACCTTGACACCACAGAACAAGAGAATCTCAGAGAAACTGGCTCTGACATAGTTGAGCCAACTCAAAACCAGCAAGGCGCGCATTAGGGCCTCCTGTTAGGTGAGAAAAACAAACCCCTGTCTGCTGGAGCCAGAGCAGACAGCTTTCCTACTCCTAGCAGTGCCGCGCGCTCCTATCAGACACATAAATGTAACAATTTAGCCTTTGTAACAACCTACTTTATAGGTAAGGAAACGAAGTCTCATACCAGTTAACTAACTTGTACAAGATCACATAATCATTAAGCTACTTTTCTTCTCCAAAATGCCCTCCTTGTGGTTTAAATCCAACTTACCTTTTAGCCCCAAGTGTAAACTTCTGTACTGTATTCCCTGATCACTCCAGCCCACCAACCGCTGGCTTATGACAAGCATGTAGAGTCTATATCATCTGTCTAGGAACTAGAAGTTATTTGCCCTCTTTTTCTAAGCAGACTGTTAAATGCTTGTGGGTGGGCATCATCACATTATCTTATATGCATATACTCCCCTACCTCACATAGCTCCTGGCAATAATTTCATGCTGAATTGGATGCCATTAGCTTACTGAGCAACCTTGATCCAGACATTTAACCTCTCTATTCTTTGATCTTCTCACCTGAAAGTCGGGAGTGACAGCCTGGCCAGGTCCAGATTTGTAAGGCAGAATGAACTTTGCTTAGTATCAAAGAGCTAAGAGATAACTAAGAGAGTAGTATCTAAGCCTGCCAGTGCTTCTGGAACAAGCCAGCACAAATCTATCAGTGACGTCTATGACCAAGAGCCTCATAGGGTAGAGGGCACAAGCATCAAACAATCGTTGTCTCACCCAGCACTCAAGCTTAGCCGCTCAAATCAGATGGCCTCACCTGGCCCTGAAATGGAAGGGTGTGGAAAAAAGAATCCATGGGCTCCATAGAGAAAAAGCATCCTCTCCAATCTAATGACGCAGACATGGCACATAAAGAACAGCCTGGGATGATGACTCAAAGAGAAGAGTAATTTATATTTCCCCAAGAAAGGCATAAAAGTCCTTTCCTGCTCTGGGGAGGGAGCCAATTTTTATTTTGTAAATGACATTCAGGGGGCTTCCAAGAAAGCTGAGTGCTGACAGGGAAGTGCAGAGCCAAGGCCAGGAGGAAGGTGAGAACAGAGGAGTGGCTTCAAGAGGCAGAGACCATGGGCAGCCAGACTCTACTGGTCCTCAGGCAGGGCTGGGCCTGGCCAGCAGTGCCCAGCCCTCTGCTTGTCTTCTGAAGGTCAGTGCTGCCCTCCACTGGCCTGCCTATGGAACACAGCCCGTCCACGAGGGCAGAAGGTCCAGGAGCATCCTCAGATCCTGCCATGGGGCCATTTCTCCTACAGCTTCCTCTCCGGGTCTCTGCTTTCTTTTTGTGGGATTTGCCTCACTTTGATAGGTAGAAAGAGCCAAAGGTGGGGGGGGGGGAGGGGGAAAGAAAGGTTTTTCCTTAGCTGGTAAAGAAAGAAAAACGCTTTACTTTTAAATTTCTTTTTAAAATTTAAGAGGCATAGAAGTCAGAATGGAAGAAATTTAGAGCTGAAATCCTAGAAAAAATCATGCAGTTGCCACCAGGTTTTCATCTGGTTTGCTGGGTTTTAGCCTTCAGCTGGCAGGGCAGTAGTTTTCCAGACCCCTGTCCACCTCTCCCACCTCCTTCCTCCAGCTGAATCTGCGCTGTCACTCACCCTCAGACGTCCCTGCTCGGCAGCTCTGGGGCGGGCAACCCTGCCACCCTCGCCCGTTTGCTGAGTTCTTCGCCCGGTGGCTCCTCGGCTGCTTCCAGCTTGCGTTTCGGGGATGCTGGGCCACTCGGTAGCGCTCTTGGGCCTGTAGAGAAGCAGGTCAAAGTGTCACAAGGACCCTGCATTGAGCCAAGAGGACCCGACACTGTGCAACGGCAGCTCTTCCAGGGGGCAGGGAGCCTGCCTCAAAGCCATGCCAACGAGTTGCTCCTCAGGTCTGCCCCTCGGTCTTCTCTTGGCAGTGACCTTGCCTGGAAATGTCTAAGGAGGGCATGACCAGGCCTGCTGGAGGCAGGGCCAGCTTCTGGGCCCCAAATCCCACGGGCTCCAGGCCACAGACTGCTCTGGCGTGTCTGCTGCCCTTGCTCTGAAGGTCAGGCGTTCCCTCGGAGACGCTGGATCAGCCTCCTGAAGCAGAACAAGCAGCACCCTCATCTGTGGAGCTAGCCTGGCTTGGCAAACTAGAAAAACCCCTGGCGCTCTTGCTGGTCTCATCTTACTGACATCGATCCCAGAGCTGAAGGGAGGAGGTGAAGAATTCGGCAAGACTGTCTGACCTCTCTTTGCTGCCACCACCGGACTGTGCTGCCCCCTCCTGCCTGGACCACCACGGTTGCCTCCTTTCTAGTCTCCCTGTCCTTGGGCCTGCCCGCACCGCACTGTCCCTTCCACACAGCAGGCGGAGGGAGCTTTTGAAAACACAGGTCAGGTCACACACCTTCACCATACTGACCACCCCTCAGTGCCTCCTCAGTGCGCTGATGACACAAACCTACTCCTCCTCGGGGTGGGGGGGGGGGGGGGGG